CAGGTGCCGAAGGGATGATTTCATGGCTTCTTGGTCAGGTTTGAGCTTAAATTAAGTCAGGGGTCCTCAAACTTTTTAAACAGAGAGCCAGGTTACAGTCCCTCAAACTGTTGGGGGGCCGGATTATAATTTGAAAAAAACATGAATGAATTCCTATGCACTCTGCACATATCTTATTTGTAGTGCAAAACAATAATTAAAATTAAGCACAATTTTAACAAATATAAACTTATTAGTATTTCAGTGGGAAGTGTGGGCCTTCTTTTGGCTGATGAGATAGGAATGTTGTTGTTCTTGTGTCTGGATGCCCGACCACCATCTCCCAAAGCAGTTGCTCTATTCCAAATTCAAGAAAGGAAATTGGAAAGTTGGTGGGATTTAAGGATGGGTTCAAAGCCAACCTTAAAAACTCTGGCACAGACACAGAGAACTGGGAAGCTCTGGCCCTTGAGCGCTCTAGCTGGAGGTCAGCTGTGACCAGCAGTGCTGTAGAATTCGAAGAGGCATGAATAGAGGGTGAAAGAGAGAAACATGCCAAGAGGAAGGCGTGTCAAGCCAACCCCAATCGGGACCGCCTTCCATCTGGAAACGGATGCCCTCAATGCGGGAGAATATGCTGATCCAGAATAGGGCTCCACAGTCACCTACGGACTCACCATCAGTACACTGATCTTGGAGGACCATCATCCTCGGACAACGAGGGGCCGCCTAAGTAAGTGTTGTGTGCTTTCAAGTCATTTCAGACTTAGGTTGACCCTGAGCAAGGGCCGGGTAAATGACCTTGGAGGGCCGTATCCGGCCCCCGGGCCTTAGTTTGAGGACCCCTGAATTAAGTGATGTTTTCCTGGTCTCTTCAGAGCAGATAACGTTGCCATAAAATCAAGTTCATGTTCAGCTCTCAAACTGCCTTTGTTCCTGAAATAGTGTTGCCTTGGAAAAGTTCCTGTTTTCATGCTTATGGATGTATGCTCATGCTCTTGACTTCATGGATTTCATGTACCTTGTTATCTTGGACTACTGATCTTTGTATATTTGGACTACTGCTATTTCATGGAACCTTTTTCTACTGCTTTTTAGGAAATGCCCATTTTCCCAGTTGTATATGCTTTTTGTAAACAAACTGCTGTAGTTAATTACTAATGGCCTTTGTGTGGTGCTGAGTGAAAAGGGCTAGAGTGCAGCAACCAGTGGATTTCCTTGGCCGAGCAATTACTTGAACCCTGGTCTCCAGAGTCATTGCTTAATGCTCAAATCACTATAGACCAACCTGTCCCTTGGATCATCCTTAGTCAGTACTAACTCACACGATTCCAACCATGTTGAATCTCAGCCGGTATCTGTGCATAAACAAAATTACTTCAATGCAAACACAATTATGGCTTGGATTCTAGACTACAACAGAAACCTGTGAGTCCCAACATGGTGGAATGGTCAGTGTTGGGCTATATCAAGTATGAGCAAATTTTGGCCCTCCAGGTGTTTTGGACTTCAACTCCCATAATTCCTAACAGCCTCGGGCCTTTTCTTTTTCCCTTTCCTTTTTTGCTTAAATGGCTGGGGGGGGGGGGGGGGGGGGGAGGAAGGGATCTGTGGTTGTTAGGAATTGTGGGAGTTGAAGTCCAAAACACCTGGATGGCTCAAGTTGGCCCATGCCTGGTCTATATAGACTAGAGTTTGGATGTCTGCTTGGTTATGGAAACAAGGCCCATATCACTTCCCGTACCTTGGGAAGTCTGATTTGGCCACGGTGGTCCATGCTCTTGTTACATCCCGAATAGATTACTGCAACACACTCTACATGGGGCTGCCTTTGAAGACTGTTCAGAAACTTCAACTTGTCCAATGGGTAGCATCCAGACTACTTACTGAAGCGACATACAGGGAGCATACCACCCCCCTGTTATGTCAGCTCCACTGGCTGCCTGTCCAGTTCCGAGCACAAGTGCTGGTCTTGACCTATAAAGCCCTATATGGTTCTGGCCCAGCTTACTTGTCTGAACATATCTCCCCTTACGTCCCACCTCGAAATGTACGATCTTCCAGGGAGGCCCTGCTCTCGATCCCACCTTTGTTGCCAATACGCTTGGTGGGGACGAGGGACAGGGCCTTCTTGGCAGTGGCCCCCTGCCTGTGGAACTCGCTCCCCAGTGAAATTAGGTCAACTGCTTCCCTCCTTTCCTTTAGGAAAAAGTTGAAGATGTGGTTATGGGACCAGGCATTCAGATAGGCATTCAGATAGCAGGTTGACAATAAAAATGATGACAATGCAATGGAAATCGGACTGTGGACTGGCTTCGGATTAAGTTGCTGATTGCTGAACTCGGATTATTTGTACTATTTTAAATGGTTTTAAAATCTAATTTATTGTTTACTTATTATGTGCTGTCGCATGCTGGGCCTGTGCATAAGTCTGTAGACAGGACATAAATTCTGTGTACCCAACGGGACGCCGGGGCTGCCTCAGATTAAAGGCCTTTGGATTTCCTTAAAACAGAGTCTTTAGATTGCTTAAAGGTTCAACAAAGTTCTTTATTAGTGAAAACAAACAGGTACTTTAAGGTATTGTCGAAGGTTTTCATGGCCAGAATCACTAGGTTCTTGTGGGTTTTTTCGGGCTGTAGGGCCATGTTCTAGAGGCATTTCTCCTGACGTTTCACCTGCATCTATGGCAAGCATCCTCAGAGGTAGTGAGGATCCTACCTCGGACCCTATAGTCCAAAAAAACCCACAAGAACCTAGGTACTTTAAAGCTTTCTCAATAGTCTATTGGCTCTCTCTCAATCTTGCCCACAGGGAAGAGGCACTATCTTCATAACTGTAACTAATGGGGAAATCCTTAACTTCTAATCTGGGCAGTCTGTCTTTGCCTCTGTTGGGGTGGAGCCCCTGCACCCGGTACCAACTGCTTCTGGCTTCCGTGAGTGACTCTTACCAAGCAGAGCTTTGTAGACTTCCAGGGGGGGAAAAAGAAGGAATTCAGGCTTCGGTGATGGCTGACTGAAGTCCCTCAGCAAAGGAGCTGTAGGGCTGTATAACCCCAGCCAAGCTGTGGGCTGTATATCTCCCCGGCCAAGCCGCAGAAGATGAAGCTTTCTATAGGAGCTCTTGGTATTATGTCCTGCATGGAAAGCTTATCTGTGTGGACTGAACTCAAAATGGCTCCTATTCCCTCCAAAACTCAAAAAGGGGGCGGGACCAGGGAACCTAACTATAACTGACAGGTGGCTTGCCCTATGATTGCAGCCAAAAGTAGCCACCTATCTGCAGAAACTTAGGACTACAACAAACATTCAATGCAAAGCAATCAAAATTGGAGCTCCTGGTACAGTTATACCTGCACATATTATGTAACTGTTGTTTTATCTGTTGTATATATGGGGCATCGAATTGTTGCCGGCTGTAAGCTGTCCTGAGTCCCCCTTTGGGGGGTAGAGAAGGGCGGGGGGTCCACATATTTGGAATAAATAAATAAATCACCCCACTTGAGTCTGCTTGCTTCTTGCTATGGAATCATGGGAGCTGTAGTTTTTGCAAGCTCGTTAGCCTTCTCTGCCAAAAAGTGCTGATGCCTCACCAAACCACAACTCCCAGATTGTCATAGCATTGAGCCATGGCAGCTAAGGTGGGTTCAGGCTGCCTTCATTCTACAGCAGTGTTTCTCAACCTTCCTAATGCCGCGACCCCTCAATACACTTTGTCATGTTTTGGTGACCCTCAACCATAACGCTATTTTCGTTGCTACTTCGTAACTCATTTTGCTACTGTTATGAATCGTAATGTAAATATCCGATATGCAGGATGAATTTTCATTCACTGGACCAAATCTGGCACAAATACCCAATACGCCCACATTTGAATCCTAGTGGGGTTGGGGGGGATTGATTTTGTCATTTGGGAGTTGTAGTTGCTGGGATTTATAGTTCACCTACAATCAAAAAGCATTCTGAACTCCACCAGTGATGGAATTGAACCACACTTGGCACTCAGAACTCCCACAACCAACAGAAAATACTGGAAGGGTTTGGTGGGCATTGACCTTGAGTTTTGGAGTTGTAGTTCACCTACATCCAGAGAGCACTGTAGGCTCAAACAGTGGACTCAAACAGTGATGGAACTGGACCAAACTTGGCACAAATACTCAATATGCCCAAATGTGAACACTGGTGGAGTTTGGGGAATAGAGACCTTGACTTTTGGGATTTATAGTTCACCTCCAATCAAAGAGCACTCTGAACCCAGCCCACAATGTGTCTGCACCAAACTTAGCATACTACCTACATGGCCAACATTGAATACTGGTGGGGTTGGAAGGGGCTATTTTTGAATTCTGGGAGTTGTAGTTCACCAACACCAAAAAGGAAGAGAAGGACAAATGGGGAGATCTTTAGCCTTCTCTGCCAAAAGGGTTCCTATGACCATCAGAAATATGTGTTTTCTGATGGACTTTGGTGACCCCTCTGAAACCCACTCGTGACCCCCTCAGGGGTCCCGACCCCCAGGTTGAGAAACACTGTTCTACAGGCAAGGGCATTCACTCCTTTCTGCCATGGTTGACTCCAGGTCTGAGCAAGCCTAGAAGAAAGTGGCCTCTTACCTCTAAATGTCTTCTCCAGATCTTGGAGGGAGAAGAGGGGGAAAGCCAGGGCTAGGGAAAGCGTGGGTTAAAGTTTCCCCGTCTTTCAGGTCCTCCTGCTGCTTTGCTTAAGAAAACTTGGCAGGGAGGGGGCAGAGAAGGAAGAACTTAAAAGGCAGAATATTTTTTTCAACTTGTCCAAAATTGACATCTCTTTCTTCCTTGCTTTCCTTACAGGAGGCGTCTCTGCAGAGCTGATGCGCCAGAGCTGTCTGTGCTCTCCCAGATGGGCACATAAGCCAGGCGCTGCTGCTGCAGACGGGCACCGCTTTCTTAAGACATCCTGGCGCTTGGAAAGTCTCCAAAGAGTCAGGAAAATATTTGGATATACATCTACGGAGGTGGTTTTTTTTTTCCTGCCCTCTCCCTGTCTCAGAAGAAATGAGCCCAGATGTCCGAGAGATGATTTTTGGCCTGGGATGCTTGCTCCTTTATTGTACTTTGGGAAATGATGCCAGTAAGTAACACCAGAATAGAAAGCTGCCAAGGAGAGGATGAATGAATGAACGGATGGGAAGGATGGAATCTCTAGGTGGAGGAAAGCCTGGGACTTCCCTTTATGACGTTCTCAAATGGGATTTTCATTTCATTTATTTTTACTATTTGGGTGCATCCACATTGTGGAAGTATTGCCATTTAGCTCTACTTTCACTGCCATGACACAATGCTATGGAATCCTGGGAGCTGTAGTTTGTTAAGCATCTTACTTTACTCGTAATCCAAGGATTTATTTTTTTGTCGTGTCAGGGCAACCAGCCAATTATATTACATTTCTAAAAGAACAAAGCAAACAAACAGACAAAA